AAAACAACCAGCCAAATGTATTTCCACTAAGGTCTTCCTGGTATTATATTACAATCAGACTTCTCAGCATCTCCATGCTTTCAGCTTAGGCCAAGTAGTTGATTATCTTTCTCTTTCTGATTCTTCTTTTCTATCCAAACTTCTTCTGCATTCAAAAAGTATTTGTTTCATTATGTATGTGTGAAGGCTAGCCTGTGCCCTTGCACCTTTGACCAATAAGGAGAGTTCATTTTTGCCCTAAATCCCTTCTGTTGCACTCTGCTTCTCTTGTAGAAGTCTGAAAAAAAAAGAAAGAAACTTCTTGCAACCTCAATTTAAACAACCCCCATTTGTCAAAATCTTTTCTTGCTGACTATCTTGATGAACCTCATGTTCTCCCAGTTGCTTAGTGGAACCTATCATTTCTTTGGCTTGAGCATTTCTGAATGCTTGACCTGTGGTTGATGCTTGTGGTTTTAGCAAATTAGGGAGTTTAACTCTGAATATATCCTGTCCAAATTATGTGCAAAATTATAAAAAAGCTCTATTCCTTTATAGACTCTTTCTGTACTCTAAGAGTAATGCAGGGATTGTACCTGGTCTTGTCACATACTTGAATCCTTTCCCTACAGATTCCTTCTCCTCCTTTGTTGTTGTTAGTCGCGAAGTCGTGTCCGACCCATCGCGACCCCACGGACAACATTCCTCCAGGCCTTCCTGTCCTCCACCATCCCCAGGAGTCCACTTAAGCTCACACCAACTGCTTCAGTGACTCCATCTAGCCACCTCATTCTCTGCCGTCCCCTTCTTCTTTTGTCATCTATTGTTCCTAGCATTAGGTACTTCTCCAGGGAGTCCTTCCTTCTTATTAGGTGGCCAAAATATTTGAGTTTCATCTTCAGTATCTGGCCTTCTAAAGAGCAGTCAGGGTTGATCTCCTCTAGCACTGACCGGTTTGATCACCTTGCGGTCCAAGGGACTCGCAGGAGTCTCCTCCAGCCACAATTCAAAGGTTTTAATCCTTTTGCGCTCAGCCTTCCTTATGGTCCAGCTTTCACAGCCATACATTGCAACTGGGAAAACCATAGCCTTAACTATATGCACTTTTGTTGGCAGGGTGATGTCTCTGCTTTTTAGTATGCTGTCTAGATTTGCCATAGTTTTCCCCCCCCAGGAGCAAGCGTCTTTTAATTTCTTGGCTGCAGTCCCCATCTGCGGTGATCTTGGAGCCCAGGAAAATCAAATCTGTCACTACCTCCATTTCTTCCCCATCTATTTGCCAGGAAGTGAGAGGACCGGATGGGATGATCTTAGTTTTCTTAATGTTGAGTTTCAAGCCAACTTTTGCACTCTCCTTCACCCACATCAAGAGGCTATTCCTCTTCACTTTCTGCCATGAGAGTGGTATCATCTGCATAT